TGTGTCCAACTTCATTGTATATATACGTGTATTTGTACCAAAATACCTTGAATGTCATTTTTGTCTATGATGATATATTTCTTTCCCATGTGTTTGTTCATTTTAAGTGACAACTCAGGTTGACAAGTATCCTTTTTTACCATTAGCAGCTGGGCTCATTAGACCATCCTGTCTAGAGGCAGAGAACAGGGAGAAGGAAGATCAGCAGTGTATGTTATGTTTCCATAAATAGCTTTTTGTGTGGCTGGTTGTGTGGGTTTCTTTTAAGCTAACATAAAAGCAGTGAGTAATAGAAGCAGCGGGAACTGGCTTTAACTGCAGCAGCTAGAAGGACTTTTTTTTTTTTTGACACACAAGTAGAACTCTGGTGAATGAACTTTAATTTCTTTCTTTCTCCTTTAATTAATGAAGGGAAACCTTTAGCATTGTAATATAGGAAAGGATATGCTTTTACAAACAGAAAACATCAGTTGGATGTTTTCATGGATACCAGGTTTGAAAAACAATTGAAATTGGGAAACAAGTAAAGCTATATTTTTCCCAAAGTGAGATCTCAGATGCAATTTTTTTAAAAAAAATGATTAGACCCTGTGTAAATTTGCGGTGTAAGGATAAACAAATTTTGTTAATTACTACCTGGGAAATTTTCAGGTGAGTCCAACTGCTGCGAATATACATTGCTGCACCCACTTATGGCTGAGCTGTCTCTTCAAGAATTCAGTGGAGCAATCTGGAGTCAGGACTGCCAAGCCAAGCAGAAATTCACCTGCACTGGAGTACAGGATTTTATGTGGCAATAAGCATTTTTAATGAAAAGTTTCCCAAGTTTAGGGTTGAATCTAAACATGTGGCAGATTGAGCTAGCACATCCAAGCACTATTGGTGCTTTGGGGGAAATCTGGCTTTTTAACAAATTGTATGGTTAAGCTGAGTAAAATCCAGCTGTGTTTTACTTAACACTGCACTAATCAAAGTTAAGTTGACTCCCTTTTTCTTCATCATCACTGTATCCAGTGGTGTATGTGTTGGCTCCTCATACCCCACCCCTTCACATTTGTCTTTTAAGACTCATTTCAGATACACATGTGTGTTAAAGCAATATAATAGTCACTCACTGTAGTAAGTAATAGAAAGCCTCTCCTGCCTGTAGTTTATCTCTTCAAGCGGTCAGAAGCTGCAGGTAATCTTCATCTGCAAAGCAGTTAGATTTTAAACCCTTACCTCTCAGGTACATGCCCTTGACCGGAATCGAACCCGGGACCCTTCAGTCCGCAGGCCGACGCTCTATCCACTGAGCCAAACCGGTTTCGGCACATTTGTCTTTTAAGACTCATTTCAGATACGCATGTGTGTTAAAGCAATATAATAGTCACTCACTGTAGTAAGTAATAGAAAGCCTCTCCTGCCTGTAGTTTATCTCTTCAAGCGGTCAGAAGCTGCAGGTAATCTTCATCTGCAAAGCAGTTAGATTTTAAACCCTTACCTCTCACATTGCTAGAGGGAGGTCTTAGATCTTACACAGAAATCAAGGTTGTCAGCTGATCTTAAAACAAAATGTAAAACCATGGTGTTACTACTAAGAACTAATATTGCTTCTGGAAAGCAGTTTCATGATTAAAGCGAGAAATAGTCAAATTGGAGCCCTGAATTATCCTTACACGGTGTTTGGCATTGGTGGTTAGGGGTGTGGGTGTGAGTCAGGGAAAGAACTCAAGGGATTCACTTTCAAGGTTAGGTTTCTTAATGAGGGTCATTGTCAAAGTGGACTGGAAAAAATGTTTTGAATTTTTATTCTCTCAATAAATTCACATTTTGCTTTCCATTAGAGAAGTAAGTAAGCTGCCTTACCAGCTGCTAAAATTCTCTGTTTAGCAGATCTAAGAAAATCAATTCTTATGAAGGTATAGGAGATGGTAAACATGATTTAGAGGGGATTTGAGGTTACTGATGCTATTATGTATAAATATTTGCACAGATAATGCCATCCCCACTCACCCATCCCCCAGCCATTCCCAGGCTACTTGATCTTACTGTTTACTGTAATCCTGCTTCTCTGGGAATTACTTCTGTCTTCGAAGAGATACTTTCTTCCAAATACAGGAAGGGCTTGCTTATTTATTCAGTAGTAATGTGGAACATATTAATGACTTTGGGGTTCAGTTCATTGGGTGGGTGTAAGTATGTGCACATACATACATACATAAATAGTGAACAATAGGAGATTCTGAACTATGTATTAATGCTGTTTCAGTAACTGGGAGGAGTTTTGAATTCTAATTCCAAATAACTTGGTTGCAAAATCTGTTTATAGCTATGTTTGGAAGTTAGACCTGAGTATCGAAATGAAGTTTGTTAAGCATTGAAAATTCAGTGAATAAAGAATTTTACCCAATTTTTTCTTAAAAAAGAATGTGTAACCCAGATAAGATAAATGTAAAATCATACCTAGAAACATTAGAGTAAGCACTGCACAGAAAATAGAATAGATGTGAGAGAAAGATTGTACTTGCAAGGTAGAATGTAGCAAATACCTTCTAACAGGAGGCAGGGAATCATATGAAGCAAGCTAAAACTTCTCAGCTTTGTTTCCTAGTAGAGTTAAAAGATTCTCCTCCACCCCCAGGTTGCCTCAGTTTTTCCTACAGCCTCTGACTATGAGAAATTGTTAATGGAAGTGGGTGAGGACTTTGCCATTCCTTTCTTCCTCTCTTAAAGTGGTAAGCTTGCAGAGCATGCTCCTTGAGTCCTTCAAGCTGCAGCTTCTCCCTGCTGCCTTCAGCTCTAATCTCCTTATAGGTGTAGCACCATGGCAACAGCCCAGCCTAGAGCCCAGGAACCTTGTTTGTGTTACCTAAGGGGCTGATGCAGTCTGAGGAAGAGAGGAAGGAATATTACCGATCCTGCCGTCTGTTTAGAAGATGACTTCATGTTCTGCTGTTTGTCTTTCTGTTCTGCTTCTGTTGAGGATTTGAAATTACGCCTGGAAAACATTGATCCAAAGATGTTATCAGTAATCGAAGGCAGCAGGGAAACCATCTTCTATTGGTTCTTGTCTTCTAAACAGAGAGTTGTTTTCTGAGATGTAGTTCAGAAAGTGACTTGCTATACCGTGACATGTGGCACCGCTATGCTTTGGGGTTGCACTGCCAGTTGGCTGTACAATTGCTTCATGTAGGTAGACATTTATTTTGTTTGAAATAAAATTAATTTCTGTTTTATAATATTTTCCTAGAGAATTTTTAAAAATAAAAGTGAGCCTTTTGTCATCCCTCCTTCTATGTTAAATATGCCTTTTGGTTTCCTGTTGTGAGGCTCACTATCAGAGTGTGAGGCTTTTTCCATCCAAATAACTCCTCCTGGGAAAATGGGCTGGAATTGTTGTTTTCTGTATGTTTAAAAAAGATTACAGTATCCTATTGCCTCAACCAAGCTTCCTGTGAAGCATAGTGGGCAAGTTGCATGCTAATCACATTAAAGTAAAATTATTTTAGCATTTAATTATGTATAGTTGTTGCATTATATAACATGTCATTATCTTATCCAGTAAAACTAAAGGAAATAAATGTGGAGCTGCTACATTTTTATGTACAAAACATTATTTGGCTTTTGTGCATACTTTCGTGCAACATTAGTTGGCTTTTGTGCACACTTTTGTGTATTATTAATGCTAAATATAATTATTGGCTTTTTGACCTTAAAACTGCTGAATATCAGAGCACACGTTTGTTAGTCTAAACATTAAATGGAAAGAATGGAGTGAAATCCTGTTGCTTAAGATGTTTCCTATTATATGGAGTTTATTAAATGATGTTAGAATGGAAACAGAGGGAAAGAGCAGCCTTTAGTGCTAATTTCCTATATCTCATTACTTTATAATTTAACTGAAAGCTACTCTGACATTTCTGATATTTCAGTTCCTTTTACTGTTTTCATGGTTATTTCAAGGAAATGAATGAAGCTGCTTATTTAATATATTTTACAAAAATTAGTGTCTTCACACAAGGCATTTCTTTTTATCCCTATTACTAGGTACTTCTGCTCAATATATATGTATATATTCATTTATATATTAAAAACTGTGGGGTTTTCAGCCAATAAATAATATAATTACTGAGTAAAACTGCATGGCTATCCATTACTGAATTCAAAAATATTGTGCATTATATTGTTTGACTTTGCTAATTCCTCCAAGGGGAAGATAGTAAAGTTCTAGCTCCTACGGTGACAAGAGTCATGATTCCCAGCCTTCTTTTTTAAACAGCTAGGAAACAAAATCAGTCAGGATGCCTGAATGGTATTCACAAAGAACTGTTCTTCTAGATGAGAGCTTAAACATTTCTTTTGTGGGTGGGAGGTTTCTTCAAGGCATTTTATTCTTAATTCATATTTATACAGTAAAGCATGGATAGAACCAAAAACTTGCCAGAAAAGAATGTCATATTGAGATGGAAATCAGACCTTTTGAAAGGCAGGGTCTTGTGCTGAAAAGCTTGGCTCTGACTCTGTGTGTGTGTGTGTGTGTGTGTTTATTCTGCCAAAGCAGAAAGAAACAGAATAAGGATTTAGCCACTACTATTTTAGCAGTAATAGAAGAGGATAATCTGAAAAGAAGAAATAATGTCTTTTGATAATACCTTTGTACAAATAAGAATATATAAGATAACCTTGAATAGTATATATTTCCATCTCCAAACAGGAGTGAGGGTAAAAACATCTGTACTGGAGCTTTGAGCTCCCTTGAGACTAGTAAAATTATGATATGTATTTGCTTTATTGAGGAAAAATAGTGTGTGAGTACACACAAATATATATATATATACGATTTATATGTGCCACATAAATATGGTTACTGTTATTGTTACAGATTAACTACTAATTTGCTCCTCATTTATTTTTTCCTTAGTTATTTATACATTTCTTGTCAGCCTCCACTGCATTAGACTGTCATTTCCTTGTTGGCCATGTAGTTACATTGTCTTACATATCTTTTTCTATGTTAGGTCTCGTGGGCTGCCTAAACTGAAAGAGTCCCGTTCCCATGAGTCCTTGCTGAGCCCATGCAGTGCAGTGGAGTGTCTGGATCTTGGCAGAGGGGAGCCCGTATCAGTGAAACCGCTTCATAGTAGCATCCTTGGACAAGACTTCTGCTTTGAGGTAAAAAAAGTATAGAAAGAAGGAAGAGTAGTCGAACAACTAGCAGATCTTCTATCCAATAGTTCTGTGTTTTTATTACTATGGTATTGATGATTTGATCATCTTAACTAGTTTTCGTTACTGGAAATTACCTACTTCTAGGGAAAAGGCTTGGAAATCTGTCAATCTAATTTTATTGGTAGTTAAGGTTATCAATGATGGCTTCTCATTCCTTTTGACTTCATCTGCTTTCAAAGTAAATGAGTTCTTTAGTACATTCTCAGCAGAGGCCACAAGACTAACAATAATATTAAATTTGTATTTCAGTTTTTTAGTATTGGTAAAGATATCAAACACTATCTTGTTATTTTTCTCCTAAAAGTCTAAGCCCCAATTTTAATGATTCTCTGAGGAAATTGACCAAAAGGTAATTTTTCTAACTGTTTTCATGGGCAGTTTAAGATCTGGGACCATGTCTTACTTATTTTTATAATCCCCTGCACCTTGCACAGTTCCTGGCACATTACAGGTGCCTGATTTCTTAAATGAACAAATTGTCCTTAACCATTTCAACATGTCACTAATATAAAACTTATCAATGAAATTTTTTTTTAACATTCTTTTTTTAGGGGAGGAGGGTACTAAGTCTTCAAAATCTCCTGTGAATTTTACATTTATAGCGCATTTCAATTTGAACTAGTTACATTCATTTCAGGTGTTCGCTAGTCATATGTGGCTAGTAGCTACCATATTAGATCAGAATATATAATCTGATCTAATTTACTAGGTTATAATCTGAGATTGAGTTAATATGTGAGCACACTTAGCAATTTGGACAAGTCACTTGTTAGTGTTTTTCTTATAAGTCACTTGAACTTCCTGTATTTTGAAAGTTGGTTCAACAGGTTGTATACCAAGCCCAGTGTTAAGTGCTAGGCATATAGGTCACATGTTCCATTTTTAAAGAAAAGTGATGATAGTGGTCAGGTTACCCTCCTAAAGACTAGAAATCACAGGTGAGTTGCCTAGTGGAGGAGATATAGATTCCAAAGACAATAACCCAATACTGGTAACTCTTTCAGTTTCATTAATACCATCTTATCCTGTACTAGAGGCCCAATGCACGAAGATTCGTGCAAGAATGGGCCTTCCTTCCCCTGACTGCTTGGCACCGCCTTCACTCTGGCCAGAGCCACCTTTCTGCCTTGGTTCCGGCCCAGAGCCACCTTTTCTCCTTCCCACGCTGCTGAGTGGCTGGGGCAGTGTGGAATGCCTGCGTTCTGCCCTACCCCTGGCCGCTCAGTGCCTGTGTATGCAAATTAACCTGCCATCTTTGTTGGGGTAATTTGAATACTCACTCCTGATTGGCTGGTGGGAGTTGCGGAGGTATGGTCAGTTTGCATCTTTCTCTTTTATTAGTGTAGATAATAAAGAGGTAATATGCAAATTGACCGTCACACCCTCGCACAAGATGGCTGCCCCCATGTGGTCAAAAGATGGCTGCTGCAGCAAGATGGCCAGCAGGGGAAGGGAGTTGTGGGCGATCAGGCCAGCAGGGGAGGGCAGTTGTGGGGGGATCAGGCCGGCAGGGGAGAGCAGTTGGGGGGACCAGGCCTGCAGGGTAGGACAGTTTTGGGGGGACCAGGCCTGCAAGGGAGGGCAATTAGGGGTGACCGGGCTGGCAGGGGAGGGCAGTTGGAGGCAATCGGGCCAGCAGGGGAGCAGTTAGGCGTCGATCAGGCTGGCAGGGGAGTGATTAGGGGGTGATCAGGCTGGCAGGCAGAAGCGGTTAGGAGCAATCAGGCAGGCAGGCAGGTGAGCGATTGGGAGCCAGCAGTCCCGGATTGTGAGAGGAAGTTCCGACTGCTGGGGATTGGGCCTAAACCGGCAGTCGGACATCCCCCAAGGGGTCCCAGATTGAAGAGGGTGCAGGCTAGGCTGAGGGACACCTCCCCCCAGTGCATGAATTTCATGCACCGGGCCTCTAGTAATATTATAATGAATGTGATGTTAGGGGGCACCCAGGGAGGCCTCAACCTGATCCAGGTCCTTGTCACAGAATAAGAAGGAATTCAAGAGGGTGACAGAAAGATTTAGCAAAGCGCAGTAATTTATTAATATGGTAGTATGCACTTGAGAAGTGAGAGCGGGCAATCTTAGAGAACAAGACATGGTGATGGGGTCTGGGTGGAAGGTTTTTATTAAACACTAGAGGCCCGGTGCATGAATTTGTGCACGGGTGGGGTCTGGCCGGCCCGCCACGATGGGGGCCCATTGGGTTAGACTGGCGCGGGGAGGGGCCATGGGTGGTTGGCCGGCTGGCCCTGCCCCCAATCGAGGTGTTGGAGGCCAGATCAGGCCAGTTGGCTGCTGCAGTGCGCGTCATAGCCACCAGTCGTTCCAGTTGTTCTGGTTGTTCCCCTGTTCTGGTCACTGGGCTTTTATATAGATGGGCAAAGGGTGAGGGGATTGAGTGATCCTCTGCTTCTGACTCTGGTAGGATGACTGCTAATGCAGCTCATTCTTTTCTCTCCTTTCCGGATAGTGATTATTATCATTATTATTATTATTTTTTTTTTGGTCCTCTAATTACAGGAAACTGGAGTGGGGGAAATAGGGGAACAGGTGGTGAGTGAAGGTTGAGTTTGTGGTGTTCCAGCCAAGACGGAGAAGGGAAGGGGTAGAGCCTGATGCCTCAAAAGCAGTCCCAAGAAACGGGATAAGCTGTTTTAGAGACTCCTCTCTTCCCTTCTTAGTTATTCTTTATTAAGTCTCTCAGAATTGAACATATTCATTAGCAGTTCATTTAAGATGTGTCCTGAAAGGTTTTTAATTTTGGTATTTCAGAACAGTTTTAGGATCCTGAGCTGAATTCTCACTGGCCTTTGTAGTCTCATCAGGAGATAAATGAGGATGCAAAGCAAAAAGTGGATGTAGATGTAGATATACCAGTAGAATCACAAAGCTGGTTTCATGTAGTATGATTTTGGTTCATAGCATATCTTAACTCAAACAATACAATTAGGAAACTAGAGCCCTCAAGCCCTATGTTTTATTTCCTTTATGTCTAACCTTTATGTTGAAGGTTACCTACTTGAGTGGAAGTAAATGCTTCAGCTGTAACTCCGCTTCAGAAAGAGATAAGTGGATGGAAAACCTTCGCAGGACAGTTCAACCAAATAAGGTAATAGTGGCTTTGAGGTCTAAAAAATGTGTAACTCTATAAGCAGTAAATTGATAGAAGCTAAATGCAGTGATAATACCTTAATTTTTATAGAACTTTTTAAACACATTCGCCATTTCAAACATATTATGCCATTTTATGCTGAACATAATTTTATTGCAGTTATTATCATGATTTTACCAATGTAGATAAAAAGACTCAGAGAATTTAAGTAACCTGCCCAAATAAGAAGCTAATACGTGATAGAAATGCGACTAGAACACAAGTTTCTTAACTACTTATCTTTTTTTATTTGTAGACATCAGTCGAGTTGCACGAGGGTAGCTACATGAGAACTTATGTTACAGAATGATACTTTGTAACCCAAATAAAATAGAATGTATATGGCTCTGTAAAATTCTGATACATTCTGTTTAGAGCTTCCTATTATCCTGAACAATGATATAATAATTTCTTTCATTATTTATTTACTAGAGGCCCGGTGCACAAATTCATGCACCACTGGGGTCCCTCTGCCTGACCTGCGGGATAGGGCTGAAACTCACTCTCCGACATTGCCCAAGGGGTCCCGGATTGCGAGAAGGCATAGGCCAAGCCAAGGGACCCCATCAGTGCACAATTGGGGCCAGGAGGGACGCGGGAGGTTGGCCAGCTGGGGAGGGACTGCGGGAGGGCTCCAGGGCATGTCGGGCCCGTCTAGCTCAGTCCCGATCTGCCGGATCCCAGCAGCAAGCTAACCTACCAGTCGGAGCATCTGCCCCTTGGTGGTCAGTGCACATCATAGCAACTGGTCAACTGTCTGCCCCCTGGTGGTCAGTGCACGTCATAATGAGCAGTTGAGAGGCCTTAGCATGTCATTAGCATCTTACACTTTGATTGGTTGAACAGACAACTGGATACTTAGCATATTAGGCTTTTATTATATAGGATTACCCGTAATGAAGTATATAAGCAGCATCAAGTGGTCGGCAGCAAACTCATTAGTCAACAGAGCCAAAATATCAACAGTACGATTGAAATTTCTTTTAAGAGCCAAGTTTTTTAAACTTAAACTATATAGGTAGGTACATTGTTATTAACTTAATTAGGGTACTCCTAAGGCTTAGGAAGAGCCACACTCAAGGGGACAAAGAGCCGCATGTGGCTCACGAGCCGCAGTTTGCCGACCACGGGCATCACCTATTTCAAAAGGAAAATGTTTCTCTGGGATTTCAGCTCTCAAACTTAGCTTTATTACTTCTTTATAGGACAATTGCAGACGAGCTGAAAATGTTCTTCGTTTATGGATCATTGAAGCTAAGGACCTCGCCCCAAAAAAGAAATATTTCTGTGAACTGTGCCTTGATGATACCCTCTTTGCTCGTACAACCAGCAAGACCAAAGCAGACAATATTTTCTGGGGCGAACATTTTGAATTCTACAGCCTTCCACCTCTTCATAGCATCACAGTTCACATTTATAAAGATGTGGAAAAAAAGAAAAAGAAGGACAAGAATAATTATGTAGGTCTAGTCAACATCCCCTCTGCCAGTGTAACTGGTCGCCAGTTTGTAGAAAAGTGGTATCCAGTGAGTACACCTACACCGAACAAAGGAAAGACAGGGGGACCTTCTATTCGAATTAAATCGCGTTTCCAAACTATCACCATTCTGCCTATGGAACAATACAAAGAATTTGCAGAATTTGTCACCAGCAACTATACCATGCTGTGTTCTGTCCTTGAACCAGTAATTAGTGTGAGAAATAAAGAGGAGTTGGCTTGTGCCTTAGTGCACATTCTTCAAAGTACTGGCAGAGCCAAGGTAAGTGGAAAGGAGGATTACGTTACCCAAAGTTTCTTCCCTACCTTGTATGAAGACACCAAAATATGATACTGTGGAGATGCAAATTAGAGAAATACTTGTTGCTAATGCTCAAAAAAGAAAAAAAGAATTGAGAAGGAAGCCTATTAGCAGTTCTTAGATCCAGAAAAGAGAGAGATTATAAAACTAAAGGAATAAAATGGAGAGATCACAAATATTTATTTAAAGTTCATTTGCATTGAAGATAGATAACCACAGCTAGTTCTTTATTGTCTGAAAAATAAATTGGTGATATGGGCGTGATAATCCCACAGTACATTCAAGGTTGTTTCTTACCGTGGTTTTACTCCTCGCTATATATTGTCTGAGTTAAGATTAACCGGTGACATATCCTCTGGTTACAGAAGGAGGTATTCCAGAAGCATGCTGGGTATTAGCAAGCATCTTCATGGAATTAAATCTATATTTGGAATAAAAACAGCAAGGGATGTTACATAATTGATGTAATATGAATCTTATTTCATCCTGAATATAAGTAAAAATTTAGGAAGATGAAGAGCAATGTGTTAATTGTATGAAGAACAACAACCAAATGATAGTCTTTGATCAGCCTAAACTAGAGTAATTATCACCTCTATGAGGCGTATTCACTTCATTAGGCTGAGTCACTATTACATTATATACAAATTGGCCACAGTAAAATTGTGTTTCAGACCTAGAGGCGTTCACAGATAGAATAATTTATTTACAAAAGTACTATTATGCTTTCTTGATATAAATCAGAATATGCTGATATATTCAATACTTAGTTCCTTATCTAACTATTATAATCCTATTGATTATAATTTTTGTGGTTGGATTTACTGATAATAATCTTTAGGTTTCTGGCATTAAAAAAGCTCAAGAATTTGGGGTGAGGTGTCATTGAAATTTTGATTGTCATCTTTGAAATTGTAGGGTATGTTCTTTCTGCTCGAAGTTCAGGACATATGCAGAATTTTTTGAACAACCTTATTGAGGTATAATTTACAAACAGTAAACTATACCCATTTAAAGTGAAAAATTGAATGATTTTTGACAGATGATGCTCCCACTGAAACCACCAGCACAACCAAGATACTGAATGTTACCATCACCCTCAGAAGTTTCCTCCTGCCCCTTATCCTAAGAGTTGTAATAGTGATTCCTAAGTCTACAACTCTTTTACACACTTGAAGGTGCCCAGAGTAAATCCCATTAATATTTAAAATGCTTAATTTAAAAATAAATCTGCATATTCCCTGTTCTTGTACTTTAGAGACTTTGATATATCCAGTGAATACATAACATTCAAAATACTTGATATCATATTTCAAACTGAACAATAAACATGTTCTTTAAGACCATTAAGAAATGAAGCAGCTATTTCTTAAGAATTTTATTTCTCATCATGCCTTCCTTCTCCCTGGATGGATTGGGGGTGGAGGTGTAGCAGACAGACTGCCTAGAAAAAAAGTTAAAGTGTTGAGTTCAAGAAGTCCATGTTGATACTGTGGACCAATTCGTAACTGTTAGATATTGAATACCTAATATGTGCAGGAACTGTTAAGTGCTTAAAAATATAGAGGTGAACAAAAATAGACACTGTCTCTGACCTCATGGGGCTTACAGTCTTTTAGGGGAAATAGATATTAATCAAGTAATTACAGAAATAAAAAGTGTGATGAGAGTGAGAAATGCCGAGAAGTGCGCTATGGGGACCTGACTAATGCAGTTCATGGCAGTGTTGGTCAGAGCAGACTTCACTGAGGAAAGGATGTATGAACTAAGATCCAAAAGATCCCAGGAATTAACTTCATGACAGTTGGGGCAGGAATGATGGGGTGAGTGAAGCAAAACTGAGAGCAGCATTTGCACAAAATTTGTGGTGGATAGACAGCACTGTGTGTTAGAAAAGACTTGGTGTGTTCAAGGACCTATAAAGGAGGCCCTTGAGGCTGGAGCAGAATACAGAGAGAGTGGCACAAGATGAGGCTAGGAAGGTGGACAGAAACCAGAACATATGGAGACTTGTCAGCTGCACTCAGAATTATGGTCCTTACTCAAGTGCAATGGAGAAATCTGTGAAGGAATTTTAAACTTAGGGGTGGTGACACCTAAGATTTTATCCTGACTTAACTTTTTTTTTTTTTTTCAAATGAATCTGGTAGCTTTAGTTTTAAAGCAGGGTTCCCAGGATGTCTGGTATTTCATCAGTCTCTTCTGATGTATATTATTTATTCAGTTGCTTTCTGCCTGATTGAACATTATTCTACCAGGATTTTCTGACGGACTTGGTGATGTCTGAGGTGGATCGTTGTGGAGAACATGATGTCTTGATCTTCAGAGAGAATACCATTGCCACCAAGTCCATTGAGGAATACCTCAAGTTGGTGGGACAACAGTATCTTCATGATGCCTTGGGTATGGAGAAGGAAAACATTTTCTTTTCTTCCCCTTTTGATTTTAAGTTATTTCATTCTCATGAGACAAACAAATTGGGCTAAACTTCTGGGTGTTGTTTAGGTCTAGCTGACTAGAGTGTTATTCAAGATGTAGCTTTAAGAAGTCTCTGTAGTACTCACCAGTGGAGGAACAGCAGATGGGTTTATTACAATTTGTACAGAAAGAGAAAGCCCATCAGCATGTGCAGCTACCCCAAGATCCTCAAGTGTCTGAGATACACAATAATACCAGTGGGGGGGAGCCTGTTTCCCCAGACGTGTTGGGTATTTACATCATGATATAAATGTACTGTCTTAAAAGTGTTAACATTTGTTATCATGCATCAATAACAAGAAAACTCTTGCCAAGTCCCACAACTCTCAGTTTCTATCTTCATGGCCTTCAAAATTTTAAACAATAACTGACTTTTATTCACTCAGTAGTTCCTGTTAAGTCACTCACTTGCAATTCCAGGCATCAACCACTAAAGTAAGTTATGGTGCCAGGCACTTCACTGCACATCATGATAAAACAGGCATGAGTTCCTTGGAGAACATAGTCATTTTCTTTATTTCCATATCCCTGTACTTCACACAGAATGTAGACCAACTCTGTCCTATAAAAACATAATGGAGTTATATGTGAGTACTTGAAATTTTCTAGTAGTCACAAGTGAAATTAATTTTAATAACATTTTATTTAACCCATTTTATCCAACTATGAACAGGTAATCAGTATAAAAATTATTAATGAGTAAAAATTCTTTACTTTTTTATACTATTTGAAATTCAATGTGTATTTTACATTTATTGCACATTTCAATTTGTACTAGCTACATTTCAAGTGTTCAGTAGCACATATGACTGTCAGGAGTAGACCATAAAGAATGTTGAATGAGTTGGATAGATTTTGCCCTCAAGGAGCTTATAGTATAGGGAGGTAAGAAAGATAAGAATATATATCCCTACAACTAAAAAAGAGAGAAACCATGTGCTTTTTCAAAGACTTAAAGAAATTGATTCTAGCTGATATTGTATATGCTATGGCAGGAGTCTCTAATGATACAATTGAAGATTTCATCATAAGCATTAAATAAAATAAAAAGACTTTTCAATGAATCCTCCGAAAAACAAAACAAATTAAGTACAGCTGAACTCTCTGAATCATTAAAGTTGTACTATAGTTCATACATTTTGGGAGGGAAAAAAGGGATGCTATTTCCAGACTACTTAAAGAATTCTCTAAGAAAATTGAGTTAAAAGTTGCCAGGTATATTATATAATCTTCATTTCTCTTGATTAAAGCATTACTATTTACTTCACAGGCTCTGCCTCATTTACGACTTAAATCATCCATCTGTTGGCCCCCTTTACCTTTCTGATTGAAATCAGATTGCACACTGATGTCCTGTGACACACAGGAAATACCACCTGTGAGATATAGAAAAGCAGACCCTAAAAAGGCCTGATTTCCATCCTTGGTGACAAAGGCAAATTCTTTTTTAGCAGTAATATGTTCATACAGGTGGACTTATTTCTGCACATGAAATTAGATGCTAGATAGTAATAAGTTGATGGTTCACATGGAAAACACAGAACATTTTGGGCACAAACTTCCATTTGCACCATGTAGTGAGCAGCCACCCTCTTTGGCTCTGATTTCTTTCAAAGGCAAGAGAGCAAATGTAAATGGATTGTTGAATCTGTCTCAGTAATATTTTTTTTGTCTCAGTAATTTTTGATTGGGTAAGCAGCTTCTGGATACAAACCTATAAAAGGTTCACCTTTCAATGTGGTATTTTCCACATTATCAGACATGAGTTATAGTTTTAAAAGTAAAATAATTTTCTCTGTTTTGGAGGATTGTAATATATCATAATCGGGGGTGGGGGGAGGTAATTGTAGGCTGCAATTTTAGGCAGTTTACTTCCAGACCCTTGATTTATTTGGCTCTTTTTCTTGAAGAATAAAAGAAAAATATTCTTAAAATTCACAAATTATTTATTAATATTAGTACTATTTCCCCAGGATGGTATAACCTTAAAGAACTCACTAAACAGAATATTTATAATATAAATCTAAAGGTGGGTCAATTTTTACATGGAATATTTGACAATAATGACTTGGTTTTAAATTTAGATACTCTTTAAAAGGGATAAATAGTATAGAAGCACATAGCATAGAGACTTTGAGAGCACGTTGAATACAAATCTTTTGGTAAACATTTTTAGAAGCCTTTTACTAGTTTTAGTTATTTTACTTTATGAAAAACTATTTTAAAGTTGCCTAATTTGCACATAACAATACTTATTGTATGGAGCCCCTAAAAATGCCAGGCACCATATTAGACACTTTTTTTTTCATGCATTATTTCAGATCCTCACCACAGCTCTGTAGAGTGGGAGTCATTATGCTATTCTCCAAATACGGCAGCTGAAGCTTAGACTAGTTAAGTGATTTTTCAAGGCCCCACAATCATTAAGCGATGGGCCCAGGATTTGATCCCAGATCTGTCTGGCTCCAAAGCCTTTTTCTTCTCTGTGCACCACTGTTTCCTATTCTCCAGGCATTTTTCTTTCAAATAACCACTTCTCATCCTCTCATAGCTATTTTTAAATGCTTTCATTAACCTCAGTATTAGCCATTTTGCTAGGAAAAAAAATGCTGTTTATATCACTGCTGCTACTTAATTTTGCAGAAATCATTATTTACTTTCATAAAATCTAGTATAACTAGCCTGAACCTCAAGTAATATAAGCAGATTTGAAAGGGTCTTTGAAAGATCTCCTCTTTCAGACAGGCCTATAAAAACCCAAGGACATATAGTACCAGGCATCATAAATATGTATTGAGCACTTGCAGTGCTTTGGGAGGTATTTGATAGGCTGGGGATCTGAACATGAATAGAACCTGGTCCCTGACCTCCAAAGGTATTCATCCTAGAGATGAGACAGACATATGAACAAATAAGCACAAAACATTGTGAAACATGGAACAGAATATATACAGGTATAGTGGTGGGTAAACATGTAAGGTAAGGACTTGTTCTTTCAGAGAATGTTGGGCATATCCTTTTAGAGAATAGGATATATGAACAGGGCTTCTAAGCTAAATCTATTTGGAAAAACAATACAGATTATATAAAGAGATGTTCTGCTACAATCTTGTGCTGTATTGAATGACTGTTCCCATTACAAGAGGTAAGTCTAGACATCCTTACTCAAATCTATGTTTGGTACCAGAATTAGCAGTTAAAACCTTAAGTGGGCTAGTTAGTCAGAGTCCAAGTTCGAGATGTGTGGTCATCAGGGTTGTTTTTTCTCCTAAGATAATAACACTATTCACCCTGGTAAAGGGGCCTTATAACAAATAATGAATTTATGCTCATTTATTTGTGGTTTCAGATAAAAGATTTAAAGTTATATCATTGTTTATAGTAGTATCATTGTTATTTTCATAAATACCATGATGATGATGATGGTGGTGATTGCTGTTTTTTCACTTCCAGGGTAAAGAAAATAAACATGATATTTGGAAGGTGATAACTCTTGGTTTCCAAAGCAATGACCCTTCATGAACAGTCTTTTGTATCCCCCTGTCAGATCTCAGAAAGATTCCCTATTATGCATTTTAGGACAGGAATCCTAAGTCCTATTGTTCTATTTAGGAAGACCCTGTTTATAGTTCTACTATCTGTCATCTTCTCTCTTCAAATAGGGGAGTTCATCAAAGCTTTGTATGAGTCAGATGAGAACTGTGAAGTGGATCCCAGCAAATGTTCATCTAGTGAATTGATAGACCATCAGAGCAACCTGAAAATGTGCTGTGAACTGGCTTTTTGCAAGATCATCAACTCTTACTGGTGAGCTGGTGTCAGTGCTTCATCCACCACCTTTGGAACTTGCATTTTTTTTATATAAAAGTCATCACGGTGTTAACTATTATTTCCCAACCAAAGG